ATGAAGAACACCAAAGACACAAGGAAAGTAGTAGCCCAAGAGACAGAAAGGGCCACATAAACCAGGGACTTCATCAGCCTGAGACCAGAACTAGATGGTGCCTGTCTACCACCAATGACCACCCTGACAGGGAACACAACAGAGAGCAGGAGAAAGGTGGGGTGCAGAACTCAAATTCTAGTAAGAAGACCAGACTCAATGGTCTGACTGAGACTGGAGGATCCCTGGAAAGTATGGCCCCTGGCTTCTTTATCAGCCCAGAACTAAAACAATTTCTGAGGCCAGCTCTTCAGACGGATTGGACTGGACTGTGGGACATAAAGTGTGATACTCGTGAGAAGTGTGCCTCTTAGCTCAAGTAGATACAAGAGACTACATGTGCAGCTTCTGTCCGGAGGTGAGATGGGAAGGCAGAGACGGTTAGGGGCTGGTTGAATTGACATGGGGAATCAGGGGTGGAAAGGAGGAGTGTGCTGTCACAGTATGGGGAGAACAAGTAGAGTCATATGACAATGTATGTATAATTTTCATATGGGGGCAACAACAACAACAAAAAAAGAAGAGTTGACCTTAGGAATGGTTTTAGTTCTGGGTTGACAGAAAGTCTGGGGGCCATACTTTTCTGGGGTTCCTCCAGTCTCAATCAGACCATTAAGTCTGGTCTTCTTACTAGAATTTGAGTTCTGCACCGTCTTCCATTTTTTGAGCCAAGTATTCTGGCTAATAGAAGTTTCCCAGTTAAGACCCAGCAATTTGCTTTTGTCCCAAGCTACTTTGTTCCCTTGCTGCTAGCCCTAGTTTTCTGTCCCCCGTTTTTTCAGAACTTTTAAGCCTGACAATACCAAGCAGTGGTGAGAATTTGTACAAAGGGGAATATTTGAATTGCTGAAAGTATGAATTGAAATAACCATTTTGGAGAGCAGTTTGATAATATCTACTAAAAGTTGAAAATGCATATACACTCAAAGCCAGCAGTGTCACTTCTTGGTAACGCACGCTGAAGCAGTCTTTATCAGACTTTTTTCCCTCAGTAAGAAACACATTTACATTAAGACCCAAATGTATGAAAGCATAGACATAATACACACAGTTGAAACTGAGTTTTATGAAATAACTCTACATGTTTTGCTCTCTGATATTTATTTCCTTTTTCTGTTCTGCTTTTTTAGAGAGGGACAAAAAACTGTCTTGACTGACTAAATTGATTTCATGACCACCATTGGATTTCAGTCTAGGGTTTGAAAAACTCTGTTAGAGAAACTTAACTGTGTTTTCTAGGAAACTTTTTAAAAGGATATTTAGTACAACATAGTTTATAGTAGCAAAACATTGGAAACCATCTAAATACCCTTCAGGGTAGAAAATGGATAAATAAAATTGTGGTATATTTACATAGTGGAACACTCAACCATTAAAATAAACATATTAGGTTTGTATATATCAATATGAATACCCTGGGAAAATATAACTGAGTGGAAAGAAAGCAAGTTGCTTTGGAAAGCAAATTGTAAATTACTAGAAGCACAGCAATATTTTTATTGTTTATGTGGACATACAAATACACACAAGCGCATAAACAGTAAAAGAATAAAAATGTGAATACAACAACTCATGATCATGGTTGCTTATGGTGGGAGGAGAGAGGGAAGGGAGCAAGAGGACTTTATAGTATTTTGTTTTAGTTAATAAAGAGTTTTATAAAACTTCATTAGTTCTATTTTGTCATTAGAGGCCCAACTGAGTGAAAAAGTTTCGCTTCAGGGAATCCAGCAATTGGTTCGAAAATCATACCAGGCTCTGGCTTTATGGAAACTTCTTTGTGAACATCAGTTCGCTGTCATTGTAGGAGAACTTCAGAAGGTAAGTTTTTTGTTTCTGTTTTTTTAAAAGAACATATTGATCTGCTGCACTTAGTTGTCTTCTTTTGAGTGAGCCTCAATCTTACACTTGGGTTTGGGAGGGAATTATTTTGGGAAACATTTAGGTTATGATGATAAGGTTAGTATGTTATAGGAAGATTGCACAGTAGCATAATAACTTGAGAGAGTCATTTTGTCAAAGCCACAAGTTTCTATAGTATATGACAACTTTATAGTGGTATGCAAATTAAATCATACACTACCGAAGATATTTTTGAAACAGTGGATTTTACCCTTTATTTGGGCCACAGGTCGCTTTGGGATCTGATGCAAATTTGTATCTTCCCACCCTCAAAAAAATGCATACAAGGACAAACACAAAACTTTCTGCGTGTAATTTCAAGGGGTCCAACAACCTAAATCAAACACCCTTCTTTAAAAAAAGATGTTTACGATTATGGGAAATAAATGGTTCATATATCTCTGCAGCATCTTCATTTAACTCCTTTTTAAGGATAATGATAATTGGCATCCATTTAAATGTTAGATATAACATTTGAGGGGAACATACACCTACCTTTTATTTAATTGTGAGTATTTTCAAACATATACAGAAGTAGAGCAAATACTGCAGTTAACACCCATATATACATTTGCTTAATCTATCCTCTTTTCTTTTTTGTTTTTCTTTTTGCTGAATTATTTTAAAGTAAATTCCAGACATCATGTCATTTCATAGTTTAGTATGTATTTCTAAAAAAGGTGGACATATTCTTAAGTAACAACGTTATCACACTTAGCAAAATTAATAGTAATTCTTTGGTAGCATATAAAATCCAATCTGTAATGACATTTTTCTGATTGTCTTGAAAATGTCTTTGTATAGATTGGTTTGGTCAAATCAGGATCTAAACAGTTGCTTCACTCATTGAATTTGGTTGTTGTTTCTCAAATCTTTTTTAATCTAGAGAAGTCCTTTCTCTCTCTCTCTTTCTCTCTCTCTTGCTTTTGCCTCATAGAAATTGGGTCATCAATCCTGTAGAAGGTCCAACATTATAAGATTGTCCTTTAACTTCCTTAGAGTGTCATTGAACTTACTCCTCTATCCTGTATTTTCTGTAAAATGGAAGTTAAATCTGTAGAGGCTTGGTTAGGTTCAGGTCCATTTGTTTACAGAATAGAATATTCATAGGTAGTGGTGTGTGCTCCAGGCTGTACCAGGAAGCACACAGTGTTTGGTTGTCCCACTTCCATGATACTAAGATTGACCGCTGGATTCAAGTGTTAAGTCTAATCCTTCCATTGTAATATTTCTCTATCAGACTTTCGTCATCTGTTGATAATCATTGCCTGAATAACTTATTTGGCAGTACAGAATGGTGATTTTCTAAGTCTCTCAGTCCTTCCACATTTATAGTGCAGTTCTATAAAAAACAACTTTCCTTTATCACGTAGGGTTATTTGGTTACCCTGAAATGCTTAATTTTTTACTTTTAAGTACCATTTCAAAGTTAGTGGTCAATCCCCTATTCCTTTCCATTAGTGTACAGTGAGTAGTTTTGTTGGTAGTTTTGTTCCTTTTAAGTGCATTTTTTTTTTCTGTTTAAAAATGCAGTCTAATATGTTTAATTATGAAAACTGTTTTCTTTTCCATGCCAAGAAGAATTATGATTTTTTGTTTTATTGAGTAATAAGTATAGGTAGGTTTTTAACCTAGACATTTTCTAAGCTTCCTTTCTTATATCACCAATTGTTATGTGAAAGGAATGCAAATTAAAGATTTGCCTGAAAAACTGAAAATGGATTGGGTATTTGCTAAAATTTAGAAAAAAAGATACAACAGTCAAATCACTTAACAGAATAAGTATAAAATAAGTATAAATAGTATAAATCACCTCAATACATTAAAACTCCATTTTAACAAGCAGAGATTTGTCAAAGATGCAGATCAAACTTCAATGTTAGAAAGCTTGAATAATAAATTCTGACATTATTTAGGAAAGATAAAATGTAAGCCCAAGAGTTTCAGTATAACCAAGTGGTTGTTCTTCCCTAATTATAACTAAAGAAATCAGGAGACCTGGCTTTAATTTTGACTCTACTCGGGCTTCTTGTTTGTAAAGTGAGAGATTTAGACTAGACCTTCTGTCGGTTTTTCCAACTCTATGATTCTAGCTGAGTTGGCAAAGATTTGTTAGTTTGTATAATTTAATGTATTTTCTCTTTTGAATTATAGAGTCTATTATTGTGTTGGTTAAGTTATTAAAGAAAATTCATTCTGTGTGGAAATGTGATATTGCTATATTTTTGATAGAACAAAAGGATTTTCTCTTACATTCCTAGGAATTCCAAGAGCAGTTAAAGATCACCACCTTCAAAGATCTGGTAATCAGGGACAAAGAACTGACAGGGGCATTAATTGCTTCTCTCATCAACTGCTACATCAGAGATAATGCTGCTGTTGATGGCATTAGTTTACACTTACAGGATATCTGCCCTCTTCTGTATAGCACTGATGATGCAATTTGTTCTAAGGTATGATGCTTTGTTACCTATTTAAGTGATTCTTACAGGAGGTGTCACGGTGTGATGAAAAGAACAGTAGAACGAGAAGCAGGAACCTACTTCTTTTACTTAATATATGACCCTAGGGGGGTCTCTTGACCTCAGATTCTTCATTATGATCTCTTAAAATCCATGTATACTCTTAAATCTTTCATAATTGTAAATTAAGGTCATAAATCTTTGATAGTGTTTCTAACTGTATTTAAAAAAAAAAAAAAAAGTTAAACATGTCTCCTTAGAAACTAAGGAAAATCACTAAAACTTTAAGTCTGTAATGAGTTAGAGTTAATGGGACAATTTTTATTGACCCTTTCCTACAGGTGGAAAAAATAAAAAAACATGGACTGCCTGCTGACCAGTAATGTATTGACTAGGCAAGAGATTTACCAGACAAAACATATCTTGCTTAATGTATTTGTGAGAGGAATTAAGAATAGCTAGGATTTTATGGTCAAAAACTTTTCTGCCTAAAATTAAGAAGTAAGTTTGTAGAGTTGTTTTTATTTTTAATGGTAATAACCCAGATATAAATTTAGACATAGACTAAAAATTATGTTGAGAGCATCATCTAGCTGCTTGATTTCATATCTTTTTAAGTTCTCATCTTCTCTGCTTCTAGGCAAATGAACTGCTTCAGCGTTCCCGACAAGTTCAAAATAAGATTGAAAAGGAAAGAATGTTAAGGGAATCATTAAAGGAGTATCAGAAAATCAGCAATCAAGTGGACCTTTCCAGTGTTTGTGCCCAGTATAGACAAGGTGAGAAACAAAATGTTCTTCATATCTTAACTCAAAGGACAAGTGACAGTGTGTGAAGAAACAACTTAATGATGAAGAGCATCTTACCAGAGACAAATCTTCCTTCAGCTACTATGGCTCAAGTAATAAGACATAGGAACATCATTCTTTGTGTTTTAATATTGGATGACTACACTGGCCTCTGCAAAAGCTATACTGCTCTGTTTATTTCCTGATACGTAATTTCCTGATGTTGGACTTTAAGATCTAGTTAAACTATTATATTACTAAATTGTTTTCTAGGTTACATTTATTTCTAAAATGCTTAAATTTTTTTGACTGATTTTTAGAATATAACATGTCTAAAAATTACTTTAAATCAATGTAAACATAAATGTTAACATAGGTATAATTTTGAGTCTGAAATTTTTTTTCCCAAAAAAGGAACTGAAGCCCTCCTTTAGTTTTTTGTTTTTTTTTTTTTTTTGTTGTTGTTGTTGTTTTTTCCAGTGAAGAAAATATTTAATAGTTGCCTTTTATGCCTGTTGGGACCTTGTTCTTTGGTGGAGTCATTAAAAATATTTTGTATGATAATGTCACCAGGGTGACTAATGTACAATAGAGACATAATAGCCTTAATCAGTGTTTTTATATGCCAGCTAAGGAAAAAATATATCCAGCTTAGGAAAAGCCATAAATCTTTGTTCTTTTTCTTTCCCATTAGTGCGTTTTTATGAGGGTGTGGTGGAACTCTCTCTCACTGCTGCAGAGAAAAAAGATCCTCAGGGTCTTGGACTTCATTTCTATAAGCATGGAGAGCCAGAAGAGGACATAGTAGGACTTCAGGCTTTCCAAGAAAGGCAAGTTTTATTACCTTAGCAGATTGTCAGCTTTTTTAATATTAGTATTTCATTCTAACAGATAATTTTTAAATGTCACAAAGTAGTAGAGGCTATTAAAGAGAAAAAGTTATGTTCAGAAAAAAATACATAACCTATCTAAGATAGGGGTTTTGTTTTTGTTTTTTTTAATTTATTCCTTTTTATGGCCTCACCCTTTTGTGTTTACCAAAATTCTTCTCAAAATCTCTTGATCTGAAAACATATGTGATTTGCTTTATTTTTAATACCAAGTACATACGTATGTTCTCCAAAATAGTCTGCAAATTTTTGTGTGTATTTAAATTAGATAAGGAAAATAAATTGCTGTCTAAATAATGTAATTCTCTTTTTCCACTCTTTCAGATTGAACAGTTATAAGTGCATTACAGACACACTTCAAGAACTGGTAAATCAAAGTAAGGCTGCTCCTCAGTCTCCTAGTGTACCCAAAAAACCTGGTCCTCCAGTGTTGTCATCTGATCCCAATATGTTGAGTAATGAAGAAGCAGGACATCATGTAAGAACATAACGTATTTGTCTTCTAAAAATACATTGTGCTTAGAAGTTCTGTATGGTAGTAGTAGTCTCATCATCTTGGGAAAGGTTGTCCATCTCTTAGAAGTCACCACTTGAGAATTCTTGATTTCTTACGAGGAGTTTGTGAGGCTAAGGGGTCATGATTCCCAGCAACAGAGCCTTTATGCTAATTTTCAATCTTTTCTTTATTTTAGTTCGAACAAATGCTTAAATTGGCTCAGCGATCCAAAGATGAGCTCTTTAGTATTGCCCTTTATAACTGGCTAATACAAGCTGACCTTGCAGATAAGCTGTTACAGGTAAAAAAATAATTTTTTTATTCCAGTATTGTTAATTTACATTTTTCAGTAGCATAACTCAGTGAGTTCAGGACATATATAGTTCTGGGAAATTCAGTTTCTCATCCTGTGCCTACCATTAGATGTTAGTGTAAAGACAAATAATTTAGTCCCTTTCTGGTGGTCAAAGTATCCTACTGCTCTAATTTTCTTGGTATTTACAAGTTGATTTAGAAGTTACTAACTGGAAGCAGATATTTTGTTGGGTGAAAATCACTGTATTATTAATTGTCTTAGCTTTGCCACTAAGCCGCTTTGTGACCTCAAACATGTCATTTCACTATCTTAAGTCTCAGTATTCCTCAGTCTGTAGGGTGAATACATGGTATTTGGTAATTTCAGTGATCTCTTTGAGCTTAGAGTCTAGGGATCAATAGCTATGTTATCAAAGTTTATTAAAAAAATTTTTATTGATTTACAATGAATTATTTTTATCAACATTGGAACTGTTGTAAGTACTCTTCTGTTAACTATGATAAAATATTTATGATAAGGAAAATTACCCTGTCTTTTATCTAATAATGTTAGAATTTTATGTTTTCATAAAGCAGGGCACATTGTATTTGTCTTAAAAATGTTGTACTTAGCTGCATAAAAAGCAAGTAAGTTGTTGGAAAATGTTTCTAAATAACTGTACAATTTCCAGATTACTTCTCCATTTCTGGAGCCACACCTGGTCCGAATGGCAAAGATTGATCAAAATAAAGTTCATTATATGGATTTACTCTGGAGGTATTATGAGAAGAATAGAAGTTTTAGTAATGCTGCTCGTGTACTGTCCAAACTGGCTGACATGCACAGGTATGGAAAATCATAATATTCTCCTTGTGAGGAATGATTGATAACTGAACTGCATCTAGCTATATCCAAACCAAAATCCAAACCTGTTGCCATCAAGTCAATTCCAACTAATAGCGACCCTATAGGACAGAGTAGAACTGCCCCATAGGCTTTCCAAGGCTTTAATCTTTACAGAAGTAGACTGCTACATCTTTCTCCCAAGGAGCACCTGGTGGGTTTCAGCCACCAGCCTTTAGGTTGACAGCTCAGCACTTAACCAGTGTGCCCTCAGGGCTCCTTTAGCTGTATCCAGATTTCAGAAATTAAATAAAATCTCATTCATCTATACATACGTGGAATTTGTTATGCTATTACTTGGATTTACTTAAGGTTTACAGTTTTCTTTTTCCATTTTTGTTTGTTTTTAATGTATGGAAGGTGCTAAAAGAATACTCATTAGACCATTTACATTCAAATTCTCTTCTAATTTTTTTCTTTAAAACATACCTTTAGATTTTTTTTCCTAGTAATAGCAGTTAATTAGTATTCTTAATTACAAACACAAACTACTCCTTGAAGGCTTTGTAATTTAAAATGTTTTACTGATACCAAACTAATTTCTTTTACACCCACATTGGTTTAAATTACTGAAAAGGTCCTAGAACATACATGTATATTGAAGATTATTAAGGATCCTGTTGAACTAAACATTGACATTTCTAATTACATTATCATATCAAAAGACATCTTAATATGATCTTGGACAGATCATTAGTTTGACCCTTTATTTTCATATGGAATCTTCCTTGCCAAAGTAATACAGGTGCTGTTTGTAAAATACTGGAGATTAGTCACGTTAGGAAGAGGAGACTGTTGAGATAGAGCCGTTATTAAACTAAGTTGATCAGAATGGTTGCTTAAAGAATGTAGATATTGCTAATGGCGGGGATGTGTGTGTGTGTGCACACTTGCGTGCACATGCTTGCACATGTGTGTTTATTGCACATGTGGACCCAAGGCTGTTTTGGTCTTCTTGCCCTCCTTGGTCATAGTAGTCACTTGATTTTTTTTCTTTGAAGAGAATCCTAAAATAAGTTCCCCTCACATGCAGAAGATGACCTATATGTAAGTGACTTTAATTTCTTTGTCACTGATGTAACAAAAGGACAGGAAAGTTAATTAAGCTGGTAAGAGCCTGAAAGGCCTTTGGTTAATTCATGGTTTGTATAATTAAGAATCGATGGCACTATTAAGTATTTAATTCATTGTAGCTATATATCTTAAGGTTATATAGTTCATTCCTTCATCCAGTGCTGAGTACCTATTATGTACTGTCCTTGGCTAGATGTACTGATTCTGCCCTAATCCAGGCTTTCAGTATCTCATTTCTGGATTACTCTTAATCATTCTCCCCCTGGTTAGTCCTAGATACCATTACATACAAATCTTAGACCATTTTTATCATATTGTGAATGCTCAGAATTTTAGAGTGGCTCTTAATTGCCTATCATTTCAAATATATATCTCTTCCTTTAATATTTATTTACCTTTTTTATTATAAAAATTATTGTATTATTTTTATAAAAATATTTAGAACTTTTCCTACTTTTAAGATCCTCCATTATCTGAATTCACTTCACGCACACATACAACCTAATTTCCTCATTTTGTTTCCTTCTCATGTGAGATACATACCCTACCCTGTCCATCTACCCTTTAACTCTTAGCTTGCATTCTTTTCCCACAATAAATTGTTTTCCCAACAATTGCGTTGCACATTGCTTTCTTCTCACTACACTCTTTTTGCATGCATAGACTGCACCAAATAAATTGGCAGCGATAGAATGTTATATTTTAAATAACTTGGCAGCTGTTACTCTCTTTAAAAACTTTTGGCTAAAGTGGAGGTTTTTAGATTTCAGAAAGGAAAAAAAAGTGGAAAGCCCTTTTAAAGATAGGCTTCTAATTGTACAGAGTATGTACTTTATGTGTAACTTTAATAGCTGGTCAGTGCTTGTTAACTTAATACCTGTGCTTTCAAAGAACAAAAAAGAGGGAAGAGAGTTATTTTTCTTTTAGTTTCTTCTTTGAAAGGGGAAAAATATAGGAGCCATACCTCCTGTAGGACAGGTTAAGTAATGCCTTCTCTGAAAGTAGAAAAAGGCAAGTTTTTTCATGATGCCAAATGGAATTAATTGAGGGATCAAAAGTCAAATTTAATACTGGTTGATCTAATAGGTTACCAGTAAGTAGATGAGTTGTTTGTTTGCTTGCTTGTTTTTAATGCCAAGTTCCTTTATAATGTCAATGAGCCAAGTCTGGTAGAGTGAGGGATTTAGAAAGGACTGAAGCTGGCAACCATGGTGGTGAATATGTCCTTAGGGGTGTCTGACACATGTCTGTCACTCAGCCAGCAGAAATTCTTTGAGCATTTATTATGTTGAGGGCTTGTGGGAAGCAGTAGTGAACAAGATAGACAGCATCCCTGCTTTCAAGGAACTCACATTCTAGCAGGTAAAGACCAAAAGTTAAAGACAAAGAAATGAGTTCAGGTTCTATAAATATGATAATATGGTAGAAAGTGCCTGTGGGGTGGGGAGTTGCTTTAGTTAGGAGTGCTCAGAGAAAGCCTCAGGGAACGTGTTCTTAGAATTGAGACTTGAATGACAAGAAGCAGGCAACTAAAGAACTGGAGGAAAAGTGGTTCTAGCACAAGGAATAGTCTTCACAGAAGCACTGTATTGTAAACAAGTTATGTACCTGCATTCCTACAGGAATGCTTTCTGACCATGGTTAACCTGAGAATAGCTTCCTAAATTGCAAATAATGAACTAGTTTCAAACTCCTTTAAATGTCATATTTAAGATTGGGCCCATGTCTTATTGTCGTTCCCAGCATCTTCAAGGTATCATACTAGACATAAAGCAGAAGTTTAACTTCAAAATAGTGACTACTATTCAGGAACATGCTAATTTGAATTTTCTCAAGTTTTAGATGGTCTTTATGTTCATTTGGTATAAAGTTGTGCATCCTAATTAACATGTTTGTATCTTGGACCTTTAAGAATTCATATAACTAAAAATAATATTTTATTCACCTGTTAGCACAGAAATTTCACTTCAACAACGCCTAGAGTACATTGCTCGAGCCATTCTTAGTGCCAAAAGTTCCACTGCCATTTCATCAATAGCTGCAGATGGTGAATTCCTTCATGAACTGGAAGAAAAAATGGAAGTAAGTGCTAAAAACACTTAAGATATGGCCACACTGGGTCATATCCACATAGTTATTTCGCTTCCCTTCCTCCCCTGGTAAATAGTGGTCTATAGAAGTCATTATTAATTTTATTTTTTGTCTATATTTATTTGTTTATTATATGTTTAGGTATAAATTTTAAAAAGATTTTAAGGATACAAGCACTTGGGTCATAAAGACATTGTTACTTTAAATTTTTTTTCTATGGCATTTCTAAAGGTTTATTCCAGCTGTTCTAACACCAAACTGACTATCGCATTCACCATTTATTCTAGAAACTAATTAGTAGATATATTTAGGGTAGGCTAGACTGCCTTAACCAAGAGACCCAAAAATATATAATGGTCCAAATACAAAAGTTTATTTCTCATTCACAAAAATTCACAGTGAGTGTTATTGTCAGGTGGCTTTCTTCCATGAGGTTGATTAGGGACCCAAGTACTTCCTATTTTCTGGCTCTGCCATTCGCTAGGGCCTTACCTTTTTCTCACTCAGGGGAAGCAGAGGGAAAAAAAACATGTAAGAAGCACATTCAGGGAGCCCTGGTCGCACAATGGTTAAGCACGCAGCTGCTAACCAAAAGGTCGGCAGTTCAAACCCACTAGTGGCTGTGCAGGAGAAAAGGCCTGGAGATCTCCATAAAGATTACAGTCTAGGAAACCCTATGAAGCAGTTCTACTCTGTCCTATAGGGTCACTGTGAGTCAGAATCAACTTGACAGCACACAACAATAACAAGAAGCACATTCACCCTCTTAAAAATCCCCGTCCAGAAGTGGTACATGTCCACGCACATTCCACTGGACAAAACTAGTCATACAGCCATACCTTCCTGAAAGGAAGGCTGGAAAATGTAGTCTAGCCATTTGTCTGACTACAGTCATGGGTGGAACGGATATTGATGGGCAGCAAGGGCTCTCTGCCACAGTATACCTCCTGTGAAATCTATGTTGTGATAAAAGGTTGCTAGTCTGTTGTGATAAATGTCTTTATGCATTGTTTTGATTTTGACAAACTTAAAGTTAGATACTAGGAGTCATTCTTTCCGGTACCTATTGATTCATCATAAACAAATTAAGAATTCCTTTTTTTCTACTCAAACTAGGTTGCTAGGATCCAGCTTCAGATACAAGAGACACTACAAAGGCAATATTCCCATCATTCTTCTGTACAGGATGCAATTTCTCAGCTGGATTCTGAGCTAATGGACATAACGAAGGTAATAAAGCAAGTGCAATTCCTATTCCAGTCACGTAATGTCTAGAAATATCTTGTCTCTTTTACCTTTTGTTTCATGGAAAAGATTAACCTATCCCCACAAAATAAATCATCCTTGGCAGCATACCGCTTCTGCATCTGACTCCTAGAAAGGGCTAGACTGCATTTTCCAGGCCAGGCAGGTCAAGAAGCTACCACCCTCACACTGAGATTGTTAAAACCCCTGCTAGCTAATTTGTGGCCTTGCTTCTTATCTTTGTAAAAGTCACTTATCTTTGCTTAACTATCCAAGCCTGTCCCACTGTCTATCCTCTGAGCAATTCCTTTCTCTTCAGTTGTTCTTGGACCTGGCTCCAAGAACCTAAAATCCCTGAAGTTTGTCAGTATTTCCATGATTCTTCAAGCCTTAGTTTAGACAACACTAATTCTAAAAGAAATGGTGTTGCAGCATCTTTCTACCACCTAAAAAAAAAAAACCACACATACTGAAATTTATTTTAAGGTATTTTGCCGTACATTCACCATTTTTAGTTGGGAGTTATTACCAGGTATATACATCATCACAACTTTATATAATATTTTAGAAACTTTAGATAAAAACTTCTATATTATTAACTTTCAATGAATACTTCAGTTTGAATCTCTGAATGCTGACCTCTGGTTGGATGTTTAATTTTGGGATTTTCTCCCACAGCTTTATGGAGAATTTGCTGACCCATTTAAACTTGCAGAGTGTAAACTGGCAATAATTCATTGTGCTGGTTATTCAGACCCTATATTGGTACAGACCCTTTGGCAAGATATCATAGAGAAAGGTAAGTGTTTAATTTTAGGTATATTACCATACATTCTTTAGTGACTTGGTGGAGGCATACAACTGCTAGTGATTCATATATCTCAGACTTACGAAAATTGTGTATACCTCCGTAGAGGGTAATGGATGGAGAGTGACCCCAGTGACTATTTGGAAGGGCTTTGTGCTTCTTAATAAGAGAGACTGAGACACTTCCTCAGAATCTCATAACCATTGCCTGGTAAGATGAGAATCTATATGACACTAACAGAAACCCAGGATCTGCTAAATATATTAGTGTGAATATTAGCACTAGGGTATTTTGAACCTTGAAACAGAATAAAATTACCAATTTTAACATCCCATGTTAAAAGTAATTAGGGTTTCTAATGACAAGTCAGAGGAGCCCTGGTAGCACAGTGGTTAAGTGCTGTACTGCTAACCGAAAGGTCGGCGGTTTGAACCCACCAGCTGCTCAATGGGAGAAAGATGTGGCAGTCTGCTTCCGTAAAGATTACAGCCTTGGAAACCCTGTGGGACAGTTCTACTCTGTCCTGTAGGGTCACTATGATTTGGAATCAACTCCATGGCAGTGGGCTTGGTTTTTTGGTTTAATAACAAGTCTTTCTTACAGAATTGAATGATAGTGTGGCAATGAGCTCGCCGGATAGAATGCATGCTCTTAGTCTCAAGATAGTGCTCCTTGGCAAAATTTATGCTGGCACACCTCGTTTCTTTCCTCTAGGTAAGTAGTAACCTTAAGGACTGTCATGCTTTGTTGTCTTTATTTTGGTAGTTTTCTTCATTGACAAGGAAAAATATTGTCCTTTAGAGTGAAATAAAGAGTTTTTTAGTTGCTATTTAGCACAAAAGTTTAATATCACCTTTCCAGAAAGAATGACCATCAAAGAATGGTAGAATTTGTTGATGAATAGTTAGATATGAAACTGTCTAATCCTTCCAAATTTTTATCTCTGTCTTGGGATAATGCTAATAGACCGTAAGTCATTGTATCGGTTATGAAAAGAAAAATGGCTCGTGTTTTATGTGTGAGTAATCTGTAATTGATTCAACTCCTTTATTGTATTGATGGCGTATTTTTTTTCAAAACAGCAAGTAGTTGTGTTAAGAAATGTAATTATTTGAATCCCTTTCTTAACCAAATATGCTGAGTGATTGTTATATAGGTGGCTGTAATTGTTGAAATACAAGCCACTTGCCAACCTACATTTTCTTCATTGTAAAACAACAGAAGCAACATAAGGACATTCATATAGTAGAATATTAAGCACTTTTGTGTTAATGAAACATTGAGAAATATGAAAATGTTCACAATGTAACATTATTTTTTTAAAAATTAGGATGCAACTTGTTTACATACCATCTCTGACTTACGATACATTGCCGGGACCATGGTCAGAAATACAAACATTATAATCATACCTTTATTTCTTATAGATGCAGTGTAAAAAACTCTACCCTTTTTGTGCCATTTTATTGATCAGAAAAATAGAGAAAATAAAAGAGCAAATACTCATTTCTTTACAAATGTTTATAAATACATAAAACTTGACACTTGTAATAGTATAAAGGCCACCTTATACACAGTCCCTTATTGGGGGTATTTCTACTTGGCTTAGATTATTAATTTTTGAGCCCAGCGAAGTTTAGAGTAGAAGACATCTTCCTTTTCTTACAAAACTCTCCATGACAAACTGCAGGGGACTTCAGACTGGATTAAGTTTGAATGTTAAGAGTGTTTAGAATTTTTATTGCTTACACAGAGTCTTTGAATGTAAATGCTAGTTAGATCCAGGTTCACCGGCATTTTTTCAGTAATTCCTTTTGCCCATGGATATTCACATTACTCGGTCTCGTTTCTCAGATGTTATAAATATAAATTGGGTTGTTACTGTTATGATCTTATTTATGATAAGAAAGATAGTAAAAAGTGAGAATGGGGCCACAATTAGAACCATTAAAGTAAATAACATAATTCTGGGAGGGTAGAGCGTTAAAAAACACATTTAATATTTCAAATTCAGGATGCAGTAACCCTTCTTTTCTAAACAGCTGTTAAATTGAGGATGCAGTATGAAAATATTTTTTTAAATATCTGTGGGTTCTCCCCAGTAGTGGGACTGTGAGTGGTCTCTATTTTCTTCTTTTACCTTTCTGTAGTCTCCAAATTTTCTAAAATATGTTTATGTCTTACTTTTTTTTTAAACTTTAAAGCATACAATGCAGTGGTTTTAATATAGTCACAGAGTTTTGCAACCATCAGCACAATCTAATTTTAAAACAGTTTTATCACCCCAAAAAGAAACCTCAAAAAATAGGGACAACACTATGGGCTCTAATGCATGGTGTAAATAGAACACAAACCATAACTAACAGTGTACAAACACCAGAAGAGAAACTTGATAACAGGGAGCCCCTAAAAATTAAACACTTATGCTCATCAAAAGAAAAGTAAAAAGAGACTGGGAAAAAACATTTGGTTACTACATATCTATAGAATACCTGAACAACAAAAAGACAACCCACTTTTAAAATGGGCAAAGGATATGAACAGACACTTCACCAAAGAAGACATTCAGGCGGCTAACAGACACATGAGGAAATGCTCACAATCATTAGCCTTTACAGAAATGCAAATCAAAACTACAATAAGATACTTATTGCCAACATAACTGACACTAATCAAAAAACCAGAAAATAACAAATGTAAGAGAAGTTGTGGGGAGATTGGAATTCTTATGCATTTCTGGTGGGAATGTAAAATGATACAACCACTATGGAAAACGATATGACGCCTTCTTGAAAAGCTGAAAATAGGAATACCATACGATCTAGCAATCACACCCCTAGGAATATATCCTAGAGAAATAAGAGCTGTCACATGAATAGACATACGCACACCCGTGTTCTTCTTAGGATTATTCACAATACCAAAAAGATAGAAATAACTTAAGTACCCATCAACGAATGAATAAACAAATTATGGTACATACAATGGAATACTACACTACTTGAAAGAACAATGACGAATCCATGAAACATAACATGGATGAATCTGGAGGACATTATGCTGAGTGAAATGAGTCAATCACAAAAGAATATTGTATGAGACCACTATTATAAATACCCAAGAAAAGGTTTACACACAGAAAAAAACAATCTTTAATGGTTACAAGGAAGGGGAAGGGTGGGGAGAGGAAATCACTAGATAGTAGACAAGTGTTAACTTTGGTAAAGGGAAAGATAACACACAATATAGGGAAGTCAGCACAACTTGAACAAGGCGAGATCATAGAAGCTTCCTAGACACATCCAAACATTTTGAGGGACTGAGGGCTGTGGACAGTGGTCTCAGGGAATACTAGGTCAGTTGGCATAATACAGTTCATAAAAAAAATGTTCTACATCCTGCTTTGTTGAGTAGCTTTTTGGGTCCTAAAAGCTTGTGAGCGGCCATCTAAGGTACCATCTGTTGGTCCCAGCACATTTGGGGTAAAGGAGAATGAAGTAAACCAAAGACACAAAGAAAATATTAGTCCAGAGAACTAATGGACCACATGAATCACAGCCTCCACCAGCCTGACTGAGCCCAGTAGAACTAGATGATTCCCAGCTACCACCACCAACTGCTCTGAGAGGGATCACAATAGAGGGTCACTGGAAGAGCAGGAGAAAAATGTAGAACAAAATTCAGATTCACAAAGACCAGACTTACTGGTCTGACAGTGACTGGAGGAACCCTCAAGACTGGCCACCAGACACGCTGCTGTCTCAGAACTGAAGTCACTCCCAAAGTCTGCCCTTCACTGAAAGATTAGACAGGTCTATAAAACCAACAGTAACACACGTGAGGAACATGCTTCAAAGATCAATCACATACAAGACTAAATGGACACATCAGCCCAAAAAAGACATCAGGAAGGGACAAGAAAACTGAATGAATAGAAGCAGGGAACCGGGGGTGGAGAAGGGGAGAGAGTTGACACGTTGTGGAGCTCGTAACCAGTGTGACAAAACAATTTGTGTATTAATTGTTTAATGAGAAACTAATTTGCTTTGTAAACTTTCACCAAAAGCACAACAAAATAGAAAAAGAAACCCCATACCCATTAGCAGTCATTTTGCATTCATCCCCACTCTTCAGCCCTAGGCAATCACTAATCTGCCTTCTGTCTCTATATTTGTCTGTTCTAATATATATCTTTTATAAAAACTTTTTTTTAATTGGTTTTCAAAAGATTTCTCCTAGAAACTACTCAATTATGAATAAGGTCTATCGTTTACTATCAAAAGTTAAGAACTCTAATTTCCAACCTTTTCCTCCCCAGATTTTATTGTACAGTTCTTAGAGCAGCAGGTTTGTACTTTGAACTGGGATGTGGGCTTTGTAATACAGACAATGAATGAAATTGGAGTCCCATTACCTAGACTACTGGAAGTGTACGATCAGTTATTCAAATCACGGGTAAGAAAAATATTAAGTAAAATAAAAATAGCTTACTTGGTTAAGTTAGCTAAAATTCTTCTAGATATAAGGGTGGGGTATTTTGATTGCATGCTTGTAAGTGTCTCATCACTTGGTCTAATAAAGTGGCAAGAGAGATTTGCTTCATTGGTTGAGTATCAAAAAAGATCATGCTTCAGACTTAAAATAATTGCTTTGCTGATATGATAAAAATGAAATATTATTCTTGAATATATGTTTTATTCTTGGTGGAATAGGCTAAACCAAGACATGGGCTAAACACGTTAAATTATGAATCGTCATTTACTTTAAAAGAACAAAATAACAGTATACTTATTCATTTTAACCTAATCTAAAATATCAGTGCTTAAAGATCTTTGCCGTACTGAGCATTATCAGACTATGTATTTTATAATTTTTATCATAAGGATAAAGGATCCAAATAAAACCTTGTTAAATTAGAGTGTATCTTTTATAGTAACATCATCAGAACATTCATATAATGCTTTACAAGGCACTTTTATGTGTGTATTTCATTTGAGCCTCACCGTAAGCCCATATTGAAAATGAACAAGTGTTAGTATCCTCATGGTATATTACCAAAACAAAAGTGCAGAGATGTTAAATAAGTTGCTCAAGTCAGATGGCTAGTAACTGATGATGTCAGAAGTAGAATTAAGATTCCTTGACTGCTACTTTAGTCTCTTTTTACTATATCAGACTAATTCTGTATAAGTTCAAAGTATGCTGCAGCCCATAGATAAAGATGGATATTTCTTTTACCTCAGGTGTCACATCCATATCTCTAAGAAAATTTACATGCTCTTCAAAGTGTATCAGTATTTCAAATATTCTTCCTAAATAATATCACAATACAGTTTTAGGTATTCAAATATTAACTATAACCAGGTATTTAATTTAGTAATCACATGATAACTATTGCTTTTTTATACCAGTAAATTTCACTTTGGACTTCTGATGACTGCTTTGACTAACATAAATAATTAAAAATCAGTCAACACAGTTTTCCTTACAACTTATGATATATACTTTCCTTATAGGATCCATTCTGGAACAGAATGAAGAAGCCACTTCACCTTTTGGATTGTATACATGTACTGTTGACAAGATATGTTGAGAATCCTAGCCAAGTTCTAAATTGTGAGAGGTAATTATGAATTAGATATACTCTATTATAGCAAAAGGTTTAAGTGTTTCTAATCAATATCTGGGTAACAAATTGGGAGAGAATGGAAAAAGATATGGAGATGGTAAAGACATATAGGAGATTTAAGCTCTTGTTTACATTAGCAATAACTATATTGAATTATACTGATCAATGGTATGAAAAGTAGGACCATTTTTTTCCATTTTCAACCCTTATCCTGAGTCCTTTGTACAAGTGAAAGGGTGTAATTTATAAATTATTTCTAAACTCCTTCTGCTTTGAATTAGTGACCTAGGACCAAGGACCAAAGATAATTTTATCTTTCTAATATTGTTGGCCATCTCAAGGGATATTCTTTTGAAACAAAAAAACAAAATAATTTTCAGTATTAATAAGAATCAACCCTTAATGCCTCCTTTTCATTGTAATAATCTTCAGATGAAAAATGATGGTTATGTGATGGTCCACCTACCCTCTAAGTTTCCTTCTCTGTTTTCATTTATTTGCCACTCAATCACACGTTCTTTGCTCATCTGTGGGATTATAAGGTTAGCATAAGTTGTGGGGAAGCGCTACAGGAGGAAATATTTCTAAATGTGTACAAATAATTGATCAGATGTCTTTTCCTTTACAGGAGAAGATTTACAAATCTCTGCCTGGATGCTGTTTGTGGTTATCTGGTTGAGCTCCAATCTATGAGCTCTTCAGTAGCAGTACAAGCCATTACAGGGAATTTTAAATCTCTTCAAGCGAAATTAGAACGCCTTCATTAATTATTGTAATGTATTTTCATCCATGCATTTTGATCTGTAAAATAAAAGCTCAGCTGGGTCCAGATACCAGGTGCTCTTAAGTCTAAGAAATTAAGAACCATTTTAATAGAAGTATGTTTTTAATAAGTGGCTACCAACACTATATTTGCCAAATGGATTCTTTTTTTATGACTACTATTTTGTTTATTAATAATCCTGTTAAAAACACTGAAATAAGATTATGATCTTAACACATGGATAAAGAAATATTTGGAAACTCTTAAATATTTTACTGCAGGTAGAAATGGAAATCTTTCTAAGATATATACCTTTTTTGAATTTATATTACTCAAATTCGAGTTAGTACAAGGATATTGGTATCAAAACTTAAATAGATTAGCTGAGCACGTCTATTCCCATATTGGATTCTACAACAGTCTTTAAATAGGCAAAAAAACACTTTTCTTTTTTTTTATTTTTTTAAACTTTGGGTTCATCCTTGGAAAGAAATTTCCTCCAACTGTTAATATTGCAAAATTGCAATCATTCATTGAAGATTGGTACATACCTGGTTATTCTGAGCAGGTAGTAAACTTGTAAATAATGTCGTGTGTCTCGAAAACCTACACAGGAAGCTAGTATTTTCCCTTCGCTGTTCTTTGACCCTGTAACTACTGATTCCATTAGAGCAGTGCTTCTCAAAGTGTGAGCACCAAATCAGCAGCAGCAGCATCACCTGGGAATTTGTTAGAAATTGAAATTCTCGGGCCCCACCCAGACCTACTAAAGCAAAAAGTTAGAATGAATCTTAGCAATTTGTGTTTTAACAGGCTTTCCCAGGGATTCTGGTCCCTGTCAAGTTTGAGGAGCACTGCATTGGGGTACTACAACCTTCTAAGTTTATGAACTGAGTTCCCTCTCTGATTCCTCCTCCTCCCTGCCCCACCAATAACCACACCACAGGAGTTTTACCCAAGACCCAAAATACATAAAGCAAAATGTTGGTAATGTAGTTTTAGTTAGTCTTTAACGAAATTAGAGAGGCTAAACCAAGTGCCACAATGTCATGGTAACAAAGAGGGAGGGCAAAGTGGGAATGGCCATAGCTAACAAAAAAGCAAAAGCATTTTTATCTCTTCCCTAGACCATATAGGATTGCCCTCTCTACATTTATTATCTCTTTCCTGTTTCTCCTGTAATCTTCTAATTTATAATAACAACCCTTAACTCACAATATTGAAGCTACATCTTTAAAAAGGACGTTAGGCTAGCATGGTCAGATGGTCTATAAAAACCTGAAATCTGAAGACCATCCCTTTTATTCATACAGCACCTTTAAGAACTCTAACCCCACAGCAGATGTTTACAGTACCTCTTGTTGTTAATTGTTGTCAGATACTGTCAAGTCAGCTGTTACTCATGGCGACCCCATGCACAACTGAACTTAACACTCCCCAGGCCTGTACCATCTTCACAATTGTTGCTATGTTTGAGCCCATTATTGCAGCCACCGTGTCAGTCCATCTGGTTGAGGGTCTTCCTCTTTTTCACTGACCCTCTACTTTACCAAGCATGATGGCCTTCTCCAGGAACTGGTCCCTCCTGATAACATGTCCAAAGTATGAGACGAAGTCTCGCCATCCTCCCTTCTGAGGAGAATTCTGGCTGTACTTCTTCCAAGATAGATTTGTTCATTCTTCTGGCAGTCCGTGGTATATCTAGTATACTTCGCCAACACCATAATTCAAAGGCATCGATTTTTCTGTCTTCCTTATTCATTGTCCAGCTTTCTCTTGAATATGACACAATTGAAAATACCATGGCTTGGGTCAGGCACACCTTAGTCTTCAAGGTGACATCTTTGCTTTTTAATCCTATAAAGAGGTCTTTTGCATTAGATTTGCCCAGTGCAATACGTTGTTTGATTTCTTGACTGCTGCTTCCATGGGCATTGATTGTGGATCCAAGTAAAATGAAATCCTTGACAGCTTCAGTATTTTCTCCCTTTACCATGAGGTTGCTTATTAGTCCAATTGTGAGAATTTTTATTTTCCTGATGTTGAAGTGTAATCCATACTAAAGGCTGTGGTCTTTTACGTTCATAAGGAAATGCTTCAAGTCCTGTTCGCTTTCAGCAAAGTTGTATCATCTGCATATCACAGGTTATTGAGTCTTCCTCCAATTCTGATGCTGTGTTCTTCATAGTCCAGCTTCTTGGATTATTTTCTCAGCATACAAATTTAATGAGTATGGTGAAAGGATACAACCCTGACACACACCTTTCCTGATTTTAAAACATGCATTAGCCCTTTGTTCTGTTGAAATGACTGTTGCTTGGTTTATGTACAGGTTCCACATGAGCATAATTAAGTTTTCTGGAATTCCCATTCTTTGCAGTGTTATCTATAATTTGTTATGATCCACAGAGTCAAATGCCTTTGCATAGTCAATAAAACACAGGTAAACATCTTTCTGGTATTCTCTACTTTCAGCCAAGATCCTTCTGACATCAGCAGTGATATCCCTTCTTCTACATACTCTTATGTATCTGGCTTGAATTTCTAGCAGTTCCCTGTCAACGTCCTGCTGCATCCATTTGGAATTATCTTCAGCAAAATCATACTTGTGTGTGATAGTAATGATATTGTTAAATAATTCCCACATTGTGTTGCATCACCTTTCTTTGGAATGGGCACAAATATGGATCTCTTCCAGTCGGTTGGCCAAGTAGCTGTCTTCCAGATTTCTTGACATAGATGAGTGAGCACTTCCAGCATTGCATCCGTTTGTTGAAACATTTTCAATTGGTGTTCTGTCAATTCCTGGAGCCTTTTTTTTTTTTTTTGCCAATGCCTTCAGTGCAGCTTGGACTTCTTCCTTCAGTACCATTGGTTCTTGATCATATGCTACCTCCTGAAATGGCTGAATGTCAACCAATTCTTTTAGGTACAGCAACTGTGTATTCCTTTCATCTTCTTTTGATGCTTCCTGCATCATTTTAATATTTTCTCCATGGAAACCTTCAATATTGCAACTCGAGGCTTGAATTTTTTCTTCAATTCTTTCAGCTGGAGAAATGCTGAGTGTGTTCTTCCCTTTTGGTTTTCTAACCCCAGGTCTTTGTACATTCCATTATAATACTTTGTATTCTCAAGCTGCCCTTTGAAATCTTCTATTTGGCTCTTTTACTTCATCATTTCTTCCATTCTCTTTAGCTACTCTATGTTCAAAAGCAAGGTTCAGAGTCTCTTCTGATATCCATTTTGGACTTTCTTTCCTGTCTATTTAATGACCTCTTGCTTTCTTCATGTATGATGTCATTGATGTCATCCCACAATTTGTCTGATGTTCAGTCATTAGTGTTCAGAGCATCAAATCTATTCTTGAGATGGTCTCCAGATTCAGGTGGAATATATGCAAGGTCATAGTTTGGATCTTGTGTACTTGTTTTAATTTTCTTCAGCTTCAATTTGAATTTGCATATGAGCAGTTGATGGTCTGTTCCACAGTTGACCCCTGGCCTTCTGATGATGATACTGAGCTTTTCCATCATCTCTTTCCACAGATGTAGTCAGTTTGATTCATGTGTATTCCATCTGGCGAAGTCCATGTGTATTGTCACCATTTATGTTGTTGGAAAAAGGTATTTCCAATGAATAGGTCATTGGTCTTACAGATTCTGTCATGCGATCTCCAGCATCATTTCTATCACCGAGGCCATATTTTCCAACTGTGATCCTTGTTTATTTCAAACTTTTGTATTTCAATCACCAGTAATTATCAATACATCTTGATTGCATGTTTGATCAATTTCAGATTGCAGAAATTGGTAAAAATTTTCAGTTTCTTCATCTTTGGCATTAGTGGTTGATGCATAAATTTGAGTAATATTCGTATTAACTGATTTTCCTCTTAGGCATATGGGTATTATCGTATCCCTGACAGCGTTGTGCTTCAGGATAGATCTTGAAATGTTGTTGTTGTTTTTTTTTTAATTGTACTTCAGGTGAAGGTTTACATAACAAATAGTATCTCATGAAACAGTAGTACACATATTGTTTTATGACATTGGTTAACAACCCCACAACATGTCAACCCTCTCCCTTCGCGACCTTTTTTTTTTTTTTTGGTGAAAATATACATAGCCAAAGATA